TCTACTTGTATGTCATGCCTCATATTTAGATAGCTAGCTGTCTGGATTTGATCTATTTCGGGAGTTTATGTTTCTTGGGATTAACAAATGTCCAGGCTGATAAAAAAAAAAAAAAAACGAAATCTCATCATCTGCAATGACACAGATGGACCTAGAGTATATCATGCTAAGTGAAGTCAGTCAGTCAAAGAAAGACAAATACCATATGATTTCACTCATATGTGGAATTTAAGAAACAAATGAGCAAAGGAAAAGAGGGAGAGACACAAACCAAGAAAGAGACCCTTAACTACAGAGAAGAAACTGATGGCTACCAGAGGGGAGGTGGGTGGGGGAAAGGGGGATGGGGAAAACAGGAATAGGGGATTAATGAGTGCACTTGTTCTGATGAGCACCGGGTGTTGTATGGAAGGGTTGAGTCACTATCTTGTACACCTGAAACTACTATAACACTGCATGTTAATGATACTGGAATTAAGATTTTTAAAAATGTCCAGGCTGGTGATGGAAGAGATTTTGTTTTAGGGAAAACTCCTATGGCAAAGTCCTGTTTTTATAGTTACCCCTTCTAGAATATTTAATATGGGTCATAAACTATACACACATATTTCCTTTCAAGATTTGCTTAAAAATTTTCTTATCTTCTTTAGGAAAACAAACTTAATGCTAAATCTATTAGTATTTCACACTTCAAACTGAGATTGTTAGCTGTCTGGGAGTTGGTCAGTCAAGGAAGTTTGTGTTTCATGAGTCTGGATAGTCACTAGACAGAGGGTCACAGAGATAAACAATGACTATGGTTCAAAGACTCAGAACCCAGACAAGTGCATTTCTGTTTCCTACAAGTGAGTTCAGTGGGGAAGCTTAGTTGTGGCAAGAGAAAGATTGTCTCTTAAAGACCACACTTAATTTCAAGGTCTCCTCTACACACACAATAGAGATATTTTAGTATATGTGCTGCCGAAGTGAGCACTACACACACAATAGAGATAAATAGGAGAACAAATAGAGGTTTCATAAATTAAAAAATGAAATAGGGGCGCCTGGGTGACTCAATCAGTTGAGTGTCCAACTCTTGGTTTCGGCTCAGGTCATGGTCTCAGGGTCATGAGATCGAGGCCCACAACAGGGTCTGCACTCAGCAGGGAATCTGCTTGAAGATTCTCTCCCTCTGCCCCTCCCCCCCAAAATAAAGAAATCTTTCTAAAACAATGAAATAAAAATCCACCCTCTAAAAGACCTCTACAAGGTCTTTTACTGCTCTCAAATACTTCTGCTTTCACCTGCCAGACATTACTAGTAGGATGTGAACCTCTCACTGGAAATGAAGAAGAAAACAATAATAAAGTCAAAACAGGAAAATGTGTGAAGCTAGACAAACATCTGAGTTTTCACCCAATCTATCCATCGACAAGTTTTTATTAAGTGCCTAAATGCTTTGCAATGCGCTAGGTGCACTGGTAGACATGAGAGAAGGCAAGGACAAGGTCTGATCTTGCAAAATTTACAATCTAACTTGACAGTAAGAAAAAACCTAACACGTGGTATAATCTGGAAAGGTTATTAAATAAGTAAGACTTATTACACTTGAAATCTTTATAGTTGGTCTGGAATCCAAATTTCACTGTAGGTCAATTATGTGTAATTCAAGACCTACAGTGGCGCCCCGATATTGTGGTTATCTTAAAAACAGAATTCTTATCTTTTAGAGATATGTACTGAAATATTTACAGAAGTAGTGAGTGATATATTTGGGATTTGACTCAAAATAATCCTGTAGGGAGACGTGGGAATGGTGAGATACAAAATAAAGCAAACCAGCTGGGTGGTGGAGGTTAAAACACTATTCTGCCTACTTTTGCCCATAAGACATTTAAAACAAAACACTACCAATGTGGGGAATTCCACCTTGAACCTGAACTACTGCTAAAGTGAAACAGGTGCTGGGGTAGGGTGGGGACGAGGAAGTAGGCTGTCCAAGCTGAGAACAAAGAGTTCTTGTGCCCGTCAGGTTGAGAAGGAAGTTCCCAAGGGGCTATTCACATGAGTCAGGGGCTGCTGTAGGTACAAGGAAAGGGGGAAAGCAGCATGGGCTGGACTATCAAGAGCAAGGAGGAGGGGTGCCTGGGTGGCTCAGTCGTTAAGAGTCTGCCTTCGACTCAGGTCATGATCCCAGGGTCCTGGGATCGAGCCCCGCATCGGGCTCCCTGCTCCGTGGGAAACCTGCTTCTCCCTCTCCCACGCCCCCTGCTTGTGTTCCCTCTCTCGCTGTCAAAGAAATAAAATCTTAAAAAAAAAGAGCAAGGAGGAGACAGAATTTAAGTTCTGCTTCAAAGAGGTAAGATTTAGTTGACTTGAAGGTAGACAAAGGGACTAGTCAAGTCAGGGGAAAAGCACGAATAAGGACAGGGATAGGGAGAGAGCAAGCGTATCCCATTTAGAGTAGCGAGAGTGGCAGTATGACATATCTGAGCAAGATTCATTTGACGGCAGTGTATAGAACTAGAGTCTGGGGGCTGCTGCAGTAATTTAGGTTTGAGTGGGTATGGTCCTTGCCATGAGGTGTGGCAGCAAGGCCAAAAAAGGCAAGAGAAACAAAGGAAGAAAGGAGGGCAGGCAGAGTGTTAGTGTCAAAGAAGGACACTTGGGAGACAGCTGATAGGTTTCAAGTGAGCCTGAGTGTGTGTGTGCTCACTATCTGAGAAAGTAAAGAGAAGGTTCCGGACCAGAGACCAAAGCTCAGGGGAAATCAGTTAGGGAACAATAGTAAAGGAAACCAGGGAGAAGGCAAAAGAGGACTCAAAATGACTTAAAAAGAAAAAAAAGTCTGGCACTATGGACCTCAAGGGAAGAAATCCTTCAAAATCCACAATGGTTGACACAACCAGACCCACGAGAGATGTTAAAAGAGCTAAAAACTGAGGCAAGATCATAGCATTCGGTTACATTATAGGAGACTTCTGAGAGAATAGTTTTAGTAAAGTGAAAATGAAAAGCAGTTTGCAGGTGGTTAAGAGCAGCACAGGGAAATAAGGAGAACAGGGTAAAGACTTACTCAAGTAAAGAAGCAAAAGGAAGGACAGAGATGATCAGAAGATGAATCACAGAGGTAGCTGAGTAAAATGAAAGGATTTTTAACTTATTTTTTAACAAAAGAAGACTCGAGTATATTTACTGTAAGAAATATTTTAAATCCCAGGGACACAAAGAAGATGCTGGGTAGAGAGGAGATTGGTGAGGAAAGGCAGAAAGGGTAGCCTTAGAGAGGAAGGAATAAAAATCTTCCTCTCTACTGGGACGGAGAGAAGTCTGAGGTTGGACAATGCTATCTGTGGTGAGCCAAAGAGACTAGTGGGAAAGAAGAGAAAGGGAAGGTGGCCAGCCCCGTAATAACCCCGAAATGAGGTCAGATATTACACTGTAGCTAAAATGAGCTATGGAAAGGCCAAAGCAGTGGTCTAAAGGTCATTTCACTTCCAGGAAATGAATCTGATGGAGGGATATAGAATACAGGTGGAGGGAAGCAGATGTTGAGAGAGAAGATGAAGTGTAGAGCCCGGTTTAAGAGTTGGGTTTTTTCCCAAGAGAATTTCACTAACTAGGCATCGTGAATACAAGCCATCTTCCTTTATCTTCTTCTTCCTACCCCAGAGTCATTTCTGGGACAGCTTTGAAAATGGCTGTATTCAGTCATAAAGGAAAACCAGCTAGACTTGGCTCACCCACCAGTAAGAGACAATGGCTTCATTATGGCAACCTTAATACCCATTTAAGGCTCTGAAAAACTCACGGCGGCTTCAGGAGCTTCTGCAAAATGGGCTCTAAGCCCCCCTTTCCTCTCATGGAAGGACGGAGCTGCTCCTTTAAGTCCATGATATGCTCCCTCCCCTATTTAGCCACTACTCATTCACTGAGATCTTGATTTTTGCCCTAAGTTACACATAACATATAAACATTTTCCGAGGCATAATTTTTGGATGCTAAGAAGATGTGGTCAAGATGTTGTACAGATTAACCACAACATATCAGACCAGATTTTGACAGGTGAATAAGGGCTTTCTTCTACACTAAAATATGAATGAATGAGAGTGGTTACACTGTAAGATTCTGTTATGGAAGATTATTATTTTTTTCTCATTAAAATCCTACCCAAATTTGAAGGACTTAAAAAAATTCCCGTCTGTTCAAAGCTCTAACATGATATTTATATCCTATAGATGAATACACAGTTCACTCTAAGTAAGTAACTCAATCTGAAAGCTTGAAAATGGAGGCAGTAAGGGACAGACACAGGTTCCAGTGTGTCCTTATGGTTTCCAGTTTACCCTTGGCTCTGCCCCACTGTCCAGCTTTTCTTCCCGACCACCAGATCTGTGAATCTTCAACAACTCAGGCATACAGTAGCCTTCTGTACAATTCTTCATGTGCTCTCACGATTGTACAAGGCCTCATCCTTATAATACTTATTCTCTACCCTTATGGTGGTCCAGCTTCTTTCCTCCAACCTTGATACATCCATCCTGTCATTTTACTTAATGAATTATATTAAAACGTCTTACCACAACTGAGACTACAGAGTTGCTCGAGTCTACATGTCTGCGGGGGAAGACAAAGATAACCTCCTTATCAGAATTTCCATGCTCAGCAAGTATGGGGGCAGTGGGCAGGCCAACACTTATAAAACCAAAAACTGTGCAATTACATAACTGGGCAGGGAAAAAACCTAAGAGCCCACAATGTGCTGTTCTTCATAAACAAACAGGACAGGCCTGAGATATCATTTGTAAGGCATGCATCTTGACTTGTGACTCTTATGGAGACAGGTCTGAACAGATACACTCAGGTCTAAAGTGTCTCTCTTAACGTACACAAGTAGAAGAGAAGGATGGTCTCCTTTAGTATTTACTAGTACTTCATTTATTAAAACTATATGTAGATTTACGAAAGTATTTTTATTATTCCCCCTCCCCCACAATAACATACCACATTTATACATTTACCTGAAATTCATCCATGATACTGAATGTGTACTCATGCCTGGCTATTACGTGATGACAATTCTTACACAGATCTGCCGAAACACAGAGAGACTTAAATTATTAAGTCTTGAAAGGTGTCTTAAGACAGTAAAATTTCTATTTTAGCATGGTATTGCTTTAAAAGAATCTTAACTGATATATTTAACACAGCAGTGGGAAACCCATTATAATATCTACCTTGATAAGAAATCCAAAATCCATCACATAGCAACGCTACATAATGAAGGGCCTCAACTCAGAGATTTAACAGACATATATTAATTCCTATTCTCAGGACTTATAGAAACTGTGCTACTAAAAACAATTATAAATAAAAAGCCAATGCTAGACATTAAAGTGAATTTAATAGTAACAAAAGACTATAGTAAAAACATATAATAACTATGATTTATTGAGTGCTTACTGTGTGCCAGATACGCTTTTAAATACTTTTTATCTGTTTACTTAATCTTCTGAAAACCCAAAGAGGTAGATACTATTATTACCACCTTTTAAGGTAAAGAAACAAAGCCACACACCGTTAAGTAATTAGCACGACTACTGAGGTAGGAAGTGTTGGAAACAGAATTCAAACCCATGCATTCTGGCTCCAGAGCTCTTGCTCTTAACCGCTATGTCCTACTACCTCTTTAAAATAGAGTTTAAAGGGTTATGCCTAAAATAAAGAAAAAGGATTATTCTACTTTAGAACATTTTCAATAGTCTGACTCAATTCTAAAGGTTTAGTATCTTTCATATTCCTTTTTAAAATATCATTATTTGCACATTTACTCCTCATATTTCAGAACATACCAACATACTCAAACCAGGAGACAAGCAAAAAGGGGATGTGAACAGTTTAATTTCTTGTCACCGTACCTGGGGACTAAAATGTACATATACTTAATTTACTCACAGAAATTCTTAGAGTGCCAACCTCAGAACGGATTCATTTTTATTATACCTAGTTTACTTGGTTCCCCAGTACTGAGGATGAGGAGCAGCAGATGAAGGTAGCACAGCAAAAGACCCAACAGGCGGATGATGAGACAGGAGACAAAGAAGGTTACGAGAGCAGAAACAAAACTAAAACACCATAACAGCCCAGGGTCATGTAGTATGGCAGCGAACAGCCTAAACACTTCAGGAGCTGTTGGAGAACAACACTGTACTAGACTATGGTCAAAAAAGAAAACTAACATGAACAATCCTAAGGTTAAAAAAAAAAGTCTCTCTTGTTTCAGAAGGCATAAAGACTTTTAAAATAAACAAAAAATGGTCCCTGAATCATTAGCTTCAGTTATCTACAAAAGTCACTTATGCAGTCTGATGATGTCAGCATCTTTATTTTCCTCTTAAAAACCAAACTAGCAACTCTGTTAAAATACAATATTGAAACGGCCTTATAAAACACAACGTATCAGTAGGTACAACCTATTAGCTTTCAAAAGCTGGTATCTGCTCCCAGACTTGCACGAAAATAAAAAGTCTACTTACGATCATAGGTAACTATTTCTTCTCCATCTTCCTCTTTCAAAGATTTGTTTGTGATCAGCATAAAATCCCGCTTACTGCACACTGCACAGCCTGTAAAGTTCAGCAAGAAAGATCCATTCTCCAGGCAGATGTTACCCTAAAATATTAAAAATAGGAATTTAATTTTCTTCTATTTCAAAACCCTTAGTGAAAATAATTAATAGACTAAAAATTTCTAAAGGCAAAAAAACATGGCCAGAATTTACTTGCTTGAAGTCTGTACCAAGTAATTTTTGAAATTACTAGCTTTCCTCTAGAAGGCTATTTATGGCAAATAAAACTGAAGCAGTGTTAAGCTGTAAGTCTCTGAGGACTGCAACTGTGTTTGAGAGGACTAAATGCAAATGGATATTTAGAAACTTAATGAAGCTTTAATAATGTAAAATGTGAAAAGGAAAAATTAGAAAAATCTAATAGCCAATAATATTAAATGAGGCATAGCATAAAACTAGAATTAAAATTCAATCAAAATGGAAATACTGAACTAATGATAAAAACGATCTTTTACAATGTGATGCTCAGTTGACTGTTGAAATAGCATTTTCTGATGCCTTAAAAAATAACACAAAATAAGCAAACAAGAATAAACTCTAATCTCTACAGATGCCAATCCTCAAGAGTATATGTGATTCAGGCAGAGAAGATAAGCTCTGCAATTCATCAGACTGACACCATGGCATTCAAAAGAGAAAGGGATTTGCTTCATCACTAAGAAACTGTAAACAACTTATGCTCCTAGCTCAAGGGAGGTCTTTGCAAAGGCTTACTAATAATTGTTCAGAAAATCATTTTATAAATAATCTAATTCAACCTCATTTCTGACCAATACATAGAGTATTTTTAACAGTTGATGTGACTAAAAACCAATCAAATCAACATTTCTCCAATGCAGCTATGTGCCTGATACTGTGCAAAAGCACTGTGAAGGATCAGAGGATGAGTCACCTCTTTCCTCCTCCGAGGAGCTTATGAACTATCAGGAAGACCAGCTTTAAGTGATGCCACAGTGAAGTCTTCCTGGATTCCCAGCACCACAGTTAACCTCTCCCTTTTGAGTGGTTCCTTGATGCTATATATTAAGGAAGAGATTAACTCTGTAGGGGCGGGGGTGGGTGGAAGCGAAGAAATCAATCTAACTATATAGTTGGGAGATACTAAATCACAAGCACATCAACTTAACTACTAAAGGGGAAAAAAGGCCTTGGGGTTAAAGTATAAATTTCCAGCTATTGAGAACAGATGCTTTGCTTTGATTTTCTTAAAAATAAACATCACTGAAGTGTAGCTTCTATATAATAAAATACACACAATGTAAGGGTATAGGTGAATGACTTTTTTAAGATACATGTATCAATGTAACCACTATCCCAACCAAGATATAAAAATTTCTGTCTTCCTAGTACAGCCTTCAGGCTTTGCAGTCTATCTCCAACCCCTATCTCACCTCAGGCACCCCTTGATCCAATTCCTATAAAATTTTATATAAATGGAACCATGCAGTATACTCTTCTGCATCCAGTTTCTTTTGTTCTGTCCATATTAATCACCTGTGTTGTTATACTGGTAGCTCATTGCTTTTCATTGCCAAACAGCAATTGTAAGAGTTGTAAGAGTCATTGAGTTGGAAGAGTTCTTTATCTCTCTTAGATACAAATCCTCTGTCAGATTTGTATTACAAATATTTCTGCCTATTATCGGTGTGCCATTTCTTAAATAATGTCTTTTGAAGAGCAGATAGTTTTGATTCTTGATAAGTCCAATTTATCAAACTTTTTCTTTCACTATTTGTGTTTGTCTTCTAAGACTAGTATTCCTCATCTGTGAAAAATATCTACCACAAATCTCCAGAAAATTTTATGAAACCAAAGGTAATTATTTATTACCTACTCATTCCACACTTAGAACTTGTTGATATGCTAATTCATTATTTTTCTCTGACAATTTTTTGGATGAATACGCTATACCTGCTACCATCATCTTACTGTCCTTTCCTTTGCTAAGCTCCAAGTGGCTTCTGTTCTTACTGCCCTCAGAAATATCACGACTTCGAAAACTCCCAGAGTTGGAAGGACCTTTCAGATTTCAAATGGTCAGTCTCTACTGAACAACGGGAAGAGAGTTCAATTTCTCCAAGGGTTGCCCATTCCACTTTTGAAAATCTGTTAGAAAGTTCTTTGTTCTGATTCAAAGCCTACAACCCAATAACATCCACCCACCAATGATTTCTAAATCTGCCTTCTGAAATTCCAGAATGACAGCCCTTTAATTATTTTAGAACAGAATAAAGTCAGAAAGAAGTGCCAATGGAAGGCACTTTTCTGGTTTCCCAATCACCTCAATCCTTTTCTAACTCATCTGTCTGAATTTCACACCTAAACTGCAATCTTGTATTTTCACTTGACTCCCTGGATGTTACATTCTCAATCTTGGATGAAACATAATAAAAACAATCTGACCATGTGCACCCCAATTTTCGTTCTCTCTCCCATATGCCTCCAATTTCTGTAATGATACTTCCAATTTCCCAATTACATAGATTGAAAACCCTAAGGGCATCTATAGCTCCTCCCTCCATTAAACTGGCTGAGTTCTAGTAATTCTTTCCTTGAGATGAGGTCTTCATTATCTCCTGCCTACACTACTGTTGCCATGGCTCCCCAAATACTCTGTAGGGCTCTCCCTTTTACATTTCCCCCCTACCATAACCTAAATATACAGTCATAAGATTCATTCTCCTAAGTAAGATTTCAGAATTATTTCCCTATTTGATTTTCTTGATGGATGCCCAATGCCTGAAGTGTAGAATCTAAACTTAATACAATTTTTAAGTCTTTTGATTAGCTCAATTCTTAAGAATCCAACTTAATCCCTTTAATACTCTTCACTACAAACACCTCCCACGTGTGGTCTCTGGAAAGTGCAGTGTTCATTACTGGATTCATAAAAATTTTTTACACTTTTAAAAAAGTATGAAATAGAACATAATAAAGTATATGAAACATAAATATACAGTATAATGCCTCTACCTACTAGATGTCAGTAGTACCCCCAGGGTGACAACTAAAAACGTCTACAGATAGTGCCAAGTGTCCCTTGGGAGGCAAAATCTCACCTAGTTGAGAACCACTGCTCTAATTAATTCACTTTCATTACTTATTCATGGTGTTCCATTCTGTGACGGTATCACACTTTTCCAGTGTACAACTACAAAAATTGCTGTTATGAGCATTCTTATACAAGTCTCCAGGAACATACGTAATGCATTTATTTCTCTAGAATGGGAAATGCTGGGTCATTCAGTATGCGTACCTTCATTTGATAATGCTAATCCTTTTTCCAAGGAGGTTGTACCATGAGTGTTCTTGTTATATATCCTTCCCCAAAGACTACTTATTACTCAAGATATTAAGAGACAGAAACAACTATAGATTTTCTACCTTCCAATTACAAGAGTTCTTGTTCTTGTTATATTCCCCAAGGCTCTGGCTCCTCCTTTCCTTCTTTTCTACCCTAGTCACAGCGAGCCTTCAAGTCCCAAATGAAGTTCACCTTCTTCCTTTTGGGAGAACAGCGCTATTTCTCTCCCCTTTCTCAGAATTCGAACAGAATTTATGAACTGTACTACTCACTTTTTGTTAATCACATACTCTGCAGGAGGCAATGAAAGCTGCCTATTTCTTCTTTGGTATCCCTTTCTGGCCTAGCAAAGTAATCTAGCTACACACATAAATGTTCAATAAGTATACCTTCAATGCATGAGAGTAAACAAGCTTCGGCAACCTCCCGAGCTTGAGAGGAGCCGAGATTTTTCAAAAAGTAACTGCCAGGAAACCTGAATTCTGGCCTTGGCTCTCCTGTTAAGAGAATGTGAACTTGGGCAAGTGATTTCCCCCCTGGGCATTAGTTTCATCTGCAAAACTGGGTTATAACATATGGCCTCAGATGTCCCTTCCAGCGCTAGAATTCAGTAAGAAAAGTGAATTTCACCAAATCAAGCTTGAGAATGAGACCGGGGGGGGGGGGGGGGCGTGTCCCTTTGTCGTCGGACTGGATTGGTGGTGGGGGGGGTTTCCTTGTTGTCCCCCCGGAGCTCAAGAGAAGCGGGGTGACGGCTGATGTCAGCCGCCAGGGTGGGGACCGGCGGGACCTACGGCCACAGGCCGCCCCCGCCGTCAAGTGCCTAACTACAGCTACGGGGTCACTGGAATGGGCAGAGCGGCCGGGTCGGCCCGCGGCCAGCCTCTCAGGGAAGGCCAGCCGAGGGCTACAAGAAGCCCTAGGGGCTGGCCCCGGGCCAAGGGAGCGAGAAGTTCTCGGCGCCCACTCGCTCACCCGGTTGGGATACTCCTTCTCCACACATCCCCCACACATCCCGACGCCGTTCACGAGGACGGTCCTCCAGTGCTTCCGGGAAGACGAAACCTCGCGACAGCAAAGGGAAGGTTGCCGCATGCGCCCGAAGTACTCGACCCTGGAGTATTCGCTCTCGGGAGCCAACGCGAAGTCTCCGCCCCTTGGCCGCTGTTGTTAGGGCAGGGCCTGGTCTCCTAGGCAACAACGCCGGGGCTCGGAGTGGGACATCGGAAACCTATGGAGGAAGAAGGGCGGGACCGTGGACCCTGCGGCGGGAACGCGAAAGGGAGCTCCCACTGAGCAGAGTTCTTATAGGCGCCCTCCTGAGTCTAGGCTGACAGAAAGGCGAGTAACAACACACACGAAAGGGAACTGTTTCGCGCTGCCTCGGCTTACCCCGTACATAAAACTGAAGTTATAATAATTTATATACCTTTCCATATCAGTGAGAGTGATAAATCAGCTCTCGGCAGGTGAATAAGCAATAACCGAAGCGTTGGGGAAGAGGCACTTACAGCTCTGCAGAGAATCTCCTAAAACTCCTCAAAAGAACACTTAAAATGTTAATAATAAATGACCATTATTTATCCCATTAGCGGTGGGAAACGTGTTTCTGTTTCACAGAAGCCCCTCCGGGGCATGCACACACTATGCAAATGGAAAATGGCAGGTCGATCCTGCAGAGCTGAAATGCTTTTGATTGGAGCCCTGCCTTTTCCTTTTCCTCCGTATTGAAAGCAACTTACTTTTCACCATAACATAATTAACCTGAATACGAATATCCAAAATCTGTCTTTGTGTTTCTGAACAACCTGTCTTCATCATACCCAGCTACTCCAATGAAGTTATTCAATAGGAGCATCAGCATCCTCCCTTAACCCTGCCTATTGGAGTCAAGTCAGTGAAGAAATCAGGGAGCATACGAGACTGTGGGATCCATATTCTTTAAGGAAGAGATTAATAACTATTTCGAAGTTCACTCTATGCTTGGAATAATTACAATGCCTTCCACTTGTATGACATTTTCAACCTCCCAAAGTGTCCTCATTTCAGCTTCTAATTTTATGCCTTTACAACCCTAGAAGAATGGTAAGAAAAATGTCCCCCCTTTTCAGATGAGGAAACCAAGAAATAAACAGTGAAAAAGGTCTTATCTGTGGTAACAAAACTGCTAACAGTCACCCAGGACTAGGACTTGGTTCCTATCCTGGACTCAACTTCTTTTTAATACAGTAGCCAGTAGCCACATGTGGCTATAAAGCACTTTTACATGTGGCAAATTTGAACCGAGATGTATTGTCAGTACGCGCTAGATTTAGAAGACAGGATAAAAAAAATGTAAAAAATTGTAAAATGTAAAATATTTCATCAGTAATTTTTATATTGATTACATGTTAAAATAATTGGGCTAAAATATATTATTAAAGTTAATTTCATCTATTTTTAAAATCTGGCTACTAGAAAATTTTAAATTACTCAAGTAGTTTATATTGTATTTCTGCTGGACGAGGCTGGTCTATACAATTCTCTCTCTTGATCCATTTTTAAATGTGTCCTCTGTTTTTAAAACTTAATGCTGACTTTTAATTTTACTAACAGCTGTATCTACTTTATTCAATTCTATAGACATTTGTTGAGGCCTTTGCTCAAGGAACTGTGGACAACAGGAAGATGAAAAAGACATTGTCCCTTCCTGTTCTCCAGAAACTCACAATAGAGTGTGAGAGATAAGATGGGCATAAATACCTATAATTACTGGCAGTTGTGGTTTAAGAGCACAAAATGGAGAGACTGCTTCTAGGTGGGGACTGGGGAAGAGGAATTTGGGCCTTGAAGAATGTACAGGATTTCAAAAAGCAGATAATTTTAATACAGGGATTTCAGGTGGACCATGGCAAGGAGTTTGGATTTTATCCTGCAGGTGATAGTGAGCCACTGGAAGTTTGAGCAGGAGGATGATATCAGAGTTGTGGTTTAGGAAGATCATTTTAACAGTGTTTTATTGGGAATGACTGGAACTAGAAGAAATTGAACACTGAAAGGCAAACACTAACAGAAACCACAAGGGGGAGATGTATAGCTTTCTGCCTCATCACTAATAGGGAACAATAATGATTTTAAAAATTAAATAAATTAAAAATACACTGCAATCAAAGATCTCAAAGAGTAGGTTCTTTGGCATGAAAGACAATCTACATGTTTACTTTTTTTTAAAAAAAGTGCTCATTTTATTAAAATGAGCACCTGAATTAAAAGGTCATCTATGCTTGGGTATGAACTTTCAAGAGCTAATGGCTATTCACCCAATGAAATTCTCCATTCAAATCTAAAAATATCCAGGGCAGAGAGGCAGCAAATGAGATGAGAGGAGGTGGGCAGCATCAGAAATTGAAGTGTGATTATTCTTTTTTTTTTTTAAGATTTTATTTATTTGACAGAGAGAGAGAGAGAGAGAGACACAGTGAGAGAAGGAACACAAGCAGGGGGAGGGGGAGAGGGAGAAGCAGGCTTCCCGCCAAACGGAGAGCCTGATGTGGGGCTCGATTCCAGGACCCTGGGATCGTGACCTGAGCTGAAGGCAGGTGCTTAACGACTAAGCCACCCAGGCGCCACAAAGTGTGATTATTCCTTAAGGGAATATGAAGGTTTCTGAGTTTGACAGGTGGAAGAAAGGAAAATAGAGGCTACAAAGCAGGAGATTAGCACTGGAAAGGAATGACCAAGTAGTGGTGTAAAATAAGTTAAAAAAAGTTACCAAAAAATCTATTTTCTTTTCTCTTATAGGTAATTATTTAAAAATAAAGTTTGTAGGAATCATTTAAGGATTACCTTCTAACAGAATTTTCTCTGGGACAGTACCCATAGGAATCCTTAGTAAACATATGATGTCAATAATGTGTATTAAGTATGCCGTGTGTTGCAGTTTATGCATGAGTTTGTTTCTTGGTAAAAAGAATCCGTTTAAGAAACTAGATGTTAAAACGGTTCGATTACATATGCTAAACTACATCCCTGGGGCAGGATTACAGTTTTCCCTTAAAAGTGCAGTTTGAATCTTCTTTTAACACCCTCTTTCTAGTACCTTTTGTCTTTTATGATGCCTGAAGCCAAGAGGCTGGAAGGATGCAGTGCCTAGAGCATACCTATCATTTTCATCCTTTGTTTAAAGGGGTAAGGAAGCACCCTGGAGCATTTATGGTACCACCGTCAGACCAGTTTTTACAGATGGTGGGAAACTTATCTCCAAAGAGAAGTTCATCTGCCTTGTGAAGGTATGTGTTATTCTTTCCATTATCTCAAGGGAAGTGTGAAACAGGAGTGGTTGTCTTTACCTGGTTTCACCTGCCTGGGGAGAAATGAATTAGCAGCAATTCTGGCATTTCACTGTGAACACAGGTGAGTCTGATTTGGGGTAGGTACACCAAAGCACCTAAGAGGTCAGAGCCAGCTTTTTTCTTTTCTTTTAGTTCAGTGGCCAAGTTGGACTTTCTTTTATTCAGGGTTCTCATGGCTATTCAGATATTAAGCTCCAGCTTCCAAATACATGACATTTTAAAAAAAGAGAATTGCTACTGTTCCCCTTTGCCTCTGATTCCTCCAGCTAAAATCCAGCTGAAATATACAGATGATTATTTCCATATACGATTTTCATAACATATATGAAAATCTCTGATTTTCTTTGGGGGAAATGTTATCCTTCAAATCTTATATGGATCGGAATAGATTTAATCCAAATATAACTGGGTTTTAGATATACTTTATTTTATTCCATGTCTAATGGATATAGTAAAAGGATATAGTAAAACTCAGAGCAGCCTTTGTTTTCTACTGCCTATATCAACTCTGAAAGGTGAAGGAGTTTGGAATTTTCAGAGAAGCCAAAGGGTGAGGAAATGGAAGTTAAGAAGCTCCTGTTTTGTCCTAGAGAATGGCCAGCAGAGGGAGGTTTACTTCAAGGAAATTCAGGCACAAAATCCATAGGAATCAAGAAGGTTGGGTAGTTTTGAAAAGAGTAGTATGACTTGGAATGGAGAAAGGGTACCTAGAAGCTGCAAGGAATATTTGGGAAATAGTATGGTGATTTAAAGTTAAAATTTTAAATTCCGGGGCACCTGGGTGACTCAGTTGGTTAAGCCTCCAACCCATGTTTTCAGCTCAAGTCATGATCTCATGGGTCGTGGGATCGAGCCCCGGGCGTCAGGCTCTGCACTCAGTGGGGCGTCTGCTTGAGGTTCACTCTCCCTCTCCCTCTACCCCTCCTCCCCCTCTCAAATAAATAAATAAATAAATCTTTAAAAAAATTTTTTTAAAATTTCCATCCTAATTGTATCTTAGTAACAGGAGGAGGACCATAAACAAGTCACTTATTGGCTGGGCTTCAATTTTCTCATCTGTAATGACAATAATAAATATACCTATCTCTCAGGGTTGCTTTATGAAATAATACCCAATGTTTTAGATATATGAGTATATACATATGACTCAAGGATGCTAAGAAAAATAATTCTGGCCATAAGCATGAGGTTATCACCGAAGGGTGGAAAATAAATTAGGAAAAGGGGATTGGTAATAATGGCTAATAGCCTGCCTAGGGTGGGAATCTGTGTCTAGCTGAACTGGATATTTTGAAACTGTGTTCCTTAATTTGTATAAGGTGGTTTTGTGCATTTGAAAAGACTGAGTGAGCATGCTGTCGTAGAGAGAACACCGTGGGGAAAGAGTTGTGTTAGGGAGGGAAAGCATGAGGTAGAGAGAGAGCAAAAAACCAGGCTCTTCTAGGAAGCTGACTTGGAAAATTTCCCAAAGGCACAAAGAGGCAGGGACCCCTACTTTGGGCTCCTACTGAATTGCAGGTTCCCAGTCCTTTTTTTTTTTTAATTTCATTTTTAAAAAAAGATTTTATTTATTTATTTGAGAGAGAGAACGAGTGGGAGGGAGGAGCACAGGGAGAGGGAGAAGCAGGCTCCCCGCTTGAGCAGGGAGCCTGATGTGGGGCTCGATCACAGGACCCTGAGCCAAAGGCAGATGCTTAACCAACTGAGCCACCCAGGTGCCCCGGTTCCCAGTCCTTCCACTTCCTTGTACTTTTTTCTCTTGACAAAAGAGAAACTTTTGAGAACTAATGAGAAAGTACACACCAAGGTTTGA